GATATATGTGTAAAGTACTGAGCCAATATTTGCCACTCATCTGTCTTTGAAAAAGATAAACTAACACTTGATGGTAGTTCTATTTTACAACCTGATGGTTCCATTTCGTCGCGCCAAACAACTGAGTTTATGATTGTGTTAATGAAAGGCGTATCTAGAAATCACATGAACATACTGAAGTCTCTTTGCTCAGACAAAACAAACTACCACTCAGTTTCATAAATATGTAATCTAAGACACGAATTTATTTGCTTGACATCTCAAACACTGACAGTAAACGGTCTTTTAACTACGTCCACCAAACAACATAAGGTTTGAGGTACAATTCATCCCTCAGATCCCAAACGCTTACTTTAAGAATGGACTGCGTAAATCCACAGTCAAGCAGCACTAGGCCAAGAAGTCAAATGTAGTGAGCACATAATTTGTTTTGGAATTCCCAACAACATTGTCATGTTAACGATCGACGAATTTTTAACGTGGAAACTGGTTTAATGAGTAAATCAGATGGTGAAAATTAGATCGCCTAAAATTATTTCTATCAACCAATTGGAATTTGGGAGTAACTACTAATTTGAAATCAAGTGATGGAGTTTAATTGATTATATGAATGAGAAATCTTTTGCGAATTATGGGAGTAAATTGTGACATTTATCAGTGTGCGCAAGCGTCTTATTGATCAGGGCATTTTTACTTAGTTAAACTGTGCAACATTGTGCATCGTTTCCTTGGTGACACAAAAAATCAGAGGTTACGGGACTAAGCTCAAGATAATTGAAAGAAAAGTGATTTTTGTACTTGTCGTGATTATCCTTGCTTTATGTACTTGTTGCACCAAAAGCATTCTTGATCTACTTTAACTAAAAGTACTTTGGTTAAAGTTTGGAATTTCAGCTAAACTTTGTCCTGTGCTACCTTATTATTTGGCTGACACTCACGTTCTTATTGTGATCATATTGTGTTTTCAACCTTTTTAATCAAACAACAATGGTTAGTAAGACTTATAAATGTGGAAAACCGAACCGCTTGTTTCCCGTTGAGGTAGGAATGCATTGTGATGAATGTAAAAAGTGGTACCATAAGATGTGTACACGTCTAAGTCTCACGGCATATAAAAGATGCTCGAAGCCCCACTCGCATTGGCTTTGTATGTTTTGCTGTACAAATAAGAAGTTACTAATTCAGGAGGCTATGAGCCTATTGGCTTTGGCTTGCAAGAAAAACGATGGCGATTGCACTGATAACACGAGCACTGACGGTGAAGAATGTGTCAGTGTAGTACGTGCTGCTACCGGACCCGCTAAACCCCCGACTGTGATTGACGGGAAAGTGAAATCTCCGTTAACATTAACGGGGAGTGAAGTGCTGCTTGATATTGACGTCGGTAATCATACACCTCTAGTGGAAATCGAAGACCCGGATAAAACTATCACCGTTCCGAATAGTCCCGTTGTATCTGTCCTGAGTGATGATAAATGGACTACAGTACGGAGAAAAAGAAATGAGAAGAAAAAAGCTGTAGGCAAAACACAGCTGGTTAGCAAGTCATTGGAAGAGACGGTATTAGAAACGAAATCTCCACTGCGTGTCAAGACAGATCTCCCTGAGAGGTCAATCATTTTTCAGAAGTTAAGAGAACCGTTCGATAAGGAACGAAAGGTTAGATTTGAACACGATCTCAGTCATATTAAGTCCTTATTAAGCAAACTACTCCTAGATACATTTTCAGGAGTTAGTATTTGTAAGCTTTATAGAATAGGACAAAAGGTGGATTCTGAAAGTCCTCGGAAAAACCGCCTCTTGAATGTCACATTTGCCACGGTTGAAGAAAGGAACCTGATTCAACGTAACTCACGTAAACTGATTGGATCCGGAATATACGTCCGTGAGGATCTCAGCTTAGCTGATCGTATTAAGAGACGAGCTGCAGTAGTGGAAGTAAATAAGCGTCACCGAAACGGTAAAAGAAACCTGGTTCTTATGGGTTTTCAAATTGCAAAAGTTTAGAGCAAAACGATACCGAAACTACTATGGGTGGTGAGGAAAAGTTCTCCACAGACTTAAAGGTATGCTACACAAATTCTCGCAGCCTACTAAATAAAATGGTGGAGCTGAAATCAATGGTGGATAAAGAAGAACCGGATGTCATCGTTGTATCAGAAACTTGGTTAACGTCAGAAATATTAGATAGCTAAATCCAGTTGAATGATTTTTTAACCAGTAGGGCTGATAGATTAAAACGTAGGGGAGGCGGGGTTATCCTGTACATGAAAAATACGCTAACCATAAGAGTAGCTGAAACAGTGCCACATGTTTCAGGGACATATGAACTGGTGCGATGTAAGCTGAAATGTAGACGGCAAGATATTGAAGTAGTTGTAATATATCACAGTCCAGAATGTGTAGCAGATGATTTTCTGCTAAGTGAACTTAAGTCCTGGTGTAACAAGGGTAAAAGCCTTGTAACAAGCGACTTTAATGCACCATATATAAACTGAGTTAACTTAGAAGTAGGGTCATCAATAACGTCGTTCGATTGCAAACTGTTAGAAACCTCGATTGAATTAGCTTTATTCCAACACATTAGAAACCCCACAAGATATGACTTAAGAAACTCTTCTCTTTCAAATTTAGTCTTCACACACGGTGATGAGGTTGGTCAAATGACTTTCCTCCCACCACTAGGGAGAAGTGATTATGCAGTCATCTTATTCAAATTCATCGCTGAGATTGCCTGTCAGACAGTTGCGCTGGCCCGTTCTAATATATGGAGGGGGAGATATTGAGGCAATCAACTCCGCAGCATCGGCTGAAAACTAGGAAATCGACTCAAGGGCATCATTACAAAAGGCATGGACTCTTTTCAGGCAGTTATACAATGGGGTAACTCAACCATACATACCCTGGACAGTTCCGAAGAAGAAGCACAGCCATCCCTGGATAGGCCGGGATATTCGACGTTTACTAAAATAAAAGAAGAAATGTTGGGATTTAGCCATCCGCCATGGCACAGCAGGTACGATGGAACGCTGCAGATCGGTAAGAAACAAGTGTATAACAAAAAATTGGGAAGTTCAAAGAAAATATGAAATGCACTAGGCACAATCTGTACTCAAGGAGCCTAGGAGAATATTCTCGTACATAAACTACAGAACAAGGATTCCCAACCTAATTAAAGAAGAGAGTGAATCTGAAATGACAGAGAAAGATCAGGAAAAAGCAGAGGCTATGGCTGACTATCTAGGGGCAGTTTTCACCAGACAAAAAACCAGACCAAAATAAAGAGTCAACAAACCACCTACTCACCGTGGACTTCGATCAATACGATATAGTTAAAGCTCTTAGCACCTTAAACATGGAAAAGTCAATAGGACCAGATGAACTACATCCCAAAATCTTGAGGCATATTGCACAATATATCGCGGCCCCACTGACTGTGATATTGAATATGTCACTTTACCAAGGTGTGTTATCTATGGACTGGAAGGACGCGATCGTCACTCCCACACATAAAACAGGACCAAGACAAGTTCCATCGAACTACAGACCTGTAAGCCTCACCAGTGTTGTAGTTAAAACATTGGAAAGAATAGTGAAACGGACCATAATGGCATTTATGGAAACCAATAATTTGCTAAACATAAAACAACATGGTTTTAGGAAGGGTCTATCTTGTACAACGAACCTCCTTATAGCAAGGTAGTTCTGGCTAAAGGCGTTAGACAACAGAAACTCAGTGGATGTTGTCTACATAGATTTCAGTAAGGCTTTTGATAAGGTGCCAACTAATAGACTGCTATTGAAGTTGGAAAACCTTGGTTTTGCCAGACCTCTTTTAAAATGGATTAAGGATTTCCTAGCAGACCGTAGACAGAAAGTAAGAATAAATTCCAAGTGTTCCTTCTGGAGACCAGTACCTAGTGGAGTACCTCAAGGTTCCGTCCTAGGTCCTTAACTTTTTATAATGTATGTTAATGATCTTCCAAGTATAGTACAGTCTCCACTGTTATTATACGCTGACGATGCAAATATCTGGTAAGTAATAACTGGAGACACGGACGCATGTGCTCTTCAGGCAGACTTAAATAATATGATAAACTGGTCTAAAGAGTGGCTGGTGCCTATCAACGCGGCAAAGTGTGTCTACATGCACTTTGGGGATTCAAAGGTTAATAGGTACAACATAGGGGAAGTGCCATTACCCGTGGTTTGGTTTCATAAGGATCTAGGGGTGACAGTGAGTCATGATCTTAAGACGACGGCCCATTGCCTGGAGGTCTCAGCTAAAGGGTTTCGAACCCTCTGGGCTTTAAAACGGACATTCACTAAGTTAGATACTACCATGTTCATCACAGTATACACATCCTTAGTGAGAACTAAGCTTGAGAACTGCGTTCAGGCTGCAAGCCCTTGTTTAAAAGGTGATTTGGATATCCTAGAAAAAGTACAGAGGCCAGCTACCCTTGCAATTCCAGAACTTCGTGTTTTACCATGCAAAGAGCGGCTTGAAAAGCTGGACTTCTTTACTCAGTCCTATTGCGGATTAAGGAGAGATCTAATTTTGATGTACAGAATACTGAGAAGTGACTTTGAACCTAACTTATTCTCTCTTTTTCTTCCCATTAAATCAGGACATCTCAGAGGACATAGCAGGCGAGTAGAAAAGCCAAGAACGAACAAAATACCCATGGCATGCAGGTTTTCATACCGAGTCACCAATACTTGGAACCTGCTTCCCAAAGCAGTGGTATCCACACCTTCAACTAAATCTTTCAAGATAAGACTGGAAGCTCACAGAAGCATCTAGAAAAGGAATAACTGAGACCGTAGGCCTTCTGTCCTTACTATACAAATCTGAATCATAATTTACCGATATTTTTTTGTAGCTAATTGTACCTAGGTTCTTTACCTGGGCATCAGTGACCCACTGACACTAGATATAGAAGCCAGCTAAGCGAAAGCTTTTTCTATTCCATGCACATCCACTCGGATCACTGATTATTGAAAGTCTGAAGGTCGAGACGAATTACGAATGTGTCGCGTAAATTTTGTCGATTTCCGCTTGACATATGGAAGAAAGTCTTTCTGAATCACCGCCGGTGGATCTGTTTCCTCAAGCCCTCCCTAAAATACCCTCAGATGCATCTTATCCGAGAAATCAAAGAAAGCTGTCGGTCAGAGAAATAAAAATCCAACGATCCGAAGCTAGCAACAAATATGCAGCATTTACAAGACATTCTCGTGCTAAGGTGTGAGAATTTCCATTTTTTAAAAGCCATATTTGCTATACCTGTTTCTTTTCACTTTACTGTTTCGGGTTTTAGTCATTAATGACTAAATTCATAATTATGAATTTTAATAACTCAGGCACGAGACTGCAATTTGATCAGACTCTTAAGTGTCCTCTGTTGCCAATTTTCGGCAGCGCATGGATCGACGAAGACTGTATGTATGCATCCAACCTCCTGATACCATCGGGGCTGGATTTGCTAATTATTCAGTGAATGTGTTAGCTAAATTAAGGCTTAAAAATGAATTTTTCTATTGTTATTCTATCAATCTGCCCACATCATACGCTATTGAGAGCAGAAATGACAGTTTACTATCCACTTTACACCAAAATCATGAAGACTGTACTTTGAAACTTTTATGATACCTCTCGACAATAAAATATGAAAAGTTAACATCAGTAGTGAGATCTAAGGAGGAAACATGTGGTATTCCTACAAGTCATCTGTTTTGTTAGTTAACCCCTTCGCTTCATTTCCATATACTGAAACATTTCTTTTGATCTATCCAAGTAACGCAGTAGGCCATCCCTACCGATATTTATTTTGCCAAAGTAATGGTTACGAGGGCTATTACCTAATGTAATGTTTGGCGCTGTTATTTTGAAACCGTTTATGGCATTTAAAAATTATGACATCTAACTCCAGCAGCTTAATGTAGATCAGACAACTGACCGGTTTAACTAAAACCATGGGAAGTCCTACCGATACTTGCATTTCAGAGGCTTATATTCAACATTCAAGTAAAGTACTGTTAACTAGTTTCCCATCAGTTGGTTCGGAAACCACGTTGTATGTAATATTCAGTCAGAGTAAGAGATAAATGTTTTGACATGCAACGTGTTTGTGTTATCTTCGCTCTACCTCCATCAGATTAGAGCGCAAATAAAATTGCTACCAACTGATCTCCAACAAAGTGTGCTCAACAGGTGTTACGGTACTTGCTGGCAACTTAAATGTGTGAGTTGAATGTCTAGGCACAGGATAGTGTTTTTGTTGATCGGAGACTAAATAACGAAGCTTGCACTATGCAGCATTGTTGAGATCATAAACTACTATCAGTGACAAGTATCAACTCCTGACATAGTCGTGATTAATACTGCTTGGTGCCATTTGTTCGGGATTCTGGCTTGAATGTCAATTAGACTAATAAAGGCGCGAATGTTTACATTATCACCAATTCTTTTGGTACGTTTGCTTAGATTCTGACTATAATTCGTTATGCCCCGAACTTGATGGTTAGCAAATTTGTCATCTTAAACTGGTTTATGTAGACAAGTCGTCTGAACCTACAGTGACCAAATATTAAACCAAGCTAGCTTCAGAGCTACTTATCAGTCAGTCAAAAAGTGTTGGTAGGGATTATTTACATATACAAAAAATCGCAAACAATGAAAGTCGCTGTTCTGTAGCGTCCCGTTTATAAACATAAGGTCTCTGTAGGTTCAATAAAATGACTTGACAGAAGTTAGTTTATTCTGGCTGTGGCGCATATATGTTGGCGCTCTCTTGTACCAATATTTATGTGTTCAAATAAATAAATAAAATAATAGTTTATTCTGGCAGATCGCAACTGCAATATTAAGGGTTGCTGTTATTGTCCGAGGTATTCCCTTCGTGAAGGACATAATATCGAAGAAAATTTTTAAAATGTTAGGATGCAATATTCACCGTTGTATATCTGGAGAGTATTTTGTACTTGATTGTATAGTATTGGGACTATTTACTAGAGATATGGTATCACAAAATGAGATAGGGTCTTCAGAATACTTCTCATGTCAGTGAGCCACAAGTCATTTAACTTTTTAGCATCACCAGTGAAATTGTTTGGTTGGTATGCTGTTAGTCCGACCTAGTCCCAATGAGTAGAAAAATTAAATTTTCTGGCATTTTTTTGACTCAGTGTAAGCCGCTTCTTCAGAGAATAGATAACCAAATCAAAATTAATCCAAGTTTTGTATTTGGTTATTTATTCTCTGAAGTGGCTTACACTGAGCCACAAAACGTCAGAAAATTTATTTTTTCTACTCATTGGGATATTACAAATATATTAAATTATTTAGAACAATCTACCCAATCCTCAATTTATTCGAAATTATCAACTCAAACTTTGGTAACGATACCCACAAATTCATTCTTATTTGTTTCGTTTTAAGGTAGTATTTGATTCGAAACTTTATCGAACGTTTTATTGAAGTCATCGAAGATCCACAGGGATTTTTTCTAAGTCACAATCTTGTTTTAGGTAAAATAGCTTTACTAAATATATGTATATCTCTTTTTGTCTCTCTGTAAGTTGTTGGTGTTTTATTTCTATGACAGTTCATGTGAATTCCTAAGTTATTATAGACCAAACTAATAACAAACTGTATTTACTCATTATTAACAATTATTTTATGAATAAACGTTTTGTTTGCTTAATATGTGAGTGGTATTCATAAAATAACTAGATATCTTACAAATATGTGCTTTGAAGAGAAACATAAGCATAGGATGTTTTTATTTTATTCTGCAGATGGTTTGTTAAATTACTGATCAACAAAGGGATAGAATGAAATAAACTACTGATCGATATTATAATTTTAATTTTTTTCTCATAACTGTTGCCAATTAATCTACTTAAGTAACAGTTTTTCCTTATACTTGAATTTATAGCACAAGAAATTCTACAAAATGCTAAGTACCTATCCTAACATTTTAAAAATTGTTTATTTTAACCCAAAAATTAGGCATTATGGAAGACAGCCTTCAGTTTAATCTCCTCTCGTGGTGACCCATGGGAGAAATTTCATTTACAAGAACTTCCAGAAGAAATGGCAAAGCGTTATCGTTATAACGCTATTAAGGGCAAGTGGATAGAAGATATCGTACGTGTAAAAATCGAAAATTCACCATTCAATCGAGGTGCTATGAGAGAATGTTTTCGTGCGTAAGTTAGTTTACATTTATGTTGTAACATTTTCTCTTAAGTTGGGTTTATTTTACCCGAAAATTTCAAAATGTTCGGGTAGATTTCCTAGAAAATAATGCATGTTTTATCATTATATAGTCTATGTGGTATAAGAGACGAGCGTGAACGTCGATCTTATACTGTTGCATCATTTCTACTCAGATTTATTAAAGTTGCGAAAAAGAACACAAGCCCTCTGAAGACTATTTACTCAGACACTTACGAGCCAGAGCTTACGACCAACTGACATCTAAATTGGTACCACCACTTATTTCAAGCTAACAGTCGCTGTGTTTCTTAATGTCTGGCCCGTATTCGGCTCGTCATATAGGATTGTGCTCTAGGATTATCTGCTGAAAAAGAGTATACATGTGAAGTTCATTAGAATCTTGAAAACTACCCAAACATCCAAAACAGAGTAAGGACATACAACTATCTTTCCACTGTTCCATTCCAGCAGTGGGACTAGGTTGTGTTTCTCAATCTCACAATTCCTACTCAGATTTACCATCAATGACATCCGAGAAGCAGCTCCGATGGTTGTGTGGATGTGTTACCTGGTGAAAGATTTATTGATCTCGAGTATGCGGATGATATTTTATTACTGCCCAGTAAAACTCCGGGTATGTAAATCGGACTCAATCAGTTGGTAATTACTGACCGTGAATACAGCACGTACTGTTCACCCTCTTAATGCTGAGTACTTTTATAAAATGGACAGGACCCTGCGAGGAATTAGAAGTAATCGAAAATCCCTTCCATCTAGTTAGTCTTATGAGTACTGATGGTAGCGCGAGTGGCAGCTTATATCAGTCTGGGGCATATCTGGTACCTTCGGGATCTGAATTTCGCTGCCCGGCTTACAATGTGTCGGTGAGACGAATTTTTCCCTATGTCTGTGAAACCTAGCCTCTCCGAGTTGTTCATGTTGGGTAACTCCCTGTGCTCGATCATCACTGTGTCCTAAGGGTTTCTAATGTTCAGGGGCAACACTACGTTAATAATGCTGAGGTTCCGCAGTAGGTTTGAGTGCTGTGACAATAACTCGTTTGATTTCACTATCTTGAAATACCTTTTCAGGTGGTTTGTGCATGTATAAAAAATGTCATCTTAGTGTGTTCTATGTCGTGCTTTATTCGCCGACATTGGAACTGAATGGCGGAAGAAAAGGGGTGGTGATTTTACGACATGTCACTGGGGTATGGAGGAAAGGTGAATAGAGCTAGCATCTGTTGGTCCATCAAGATTCCCTGGTTGGTATCCTAGAGATCGCGCGACTCAATGGTTTGAAATGTCACTGGACATGGCTTAGAAGGCCCCCCAAACGCCCTAGTACGATCGAGAGTGGGAAGAGTCAACTCTCCCTCTCGAAATGTTCTCACATGGCCACGTACATGCAACCACTACCGGAGAAGTCCTACTCACTGCCTTCTCGTGACGGGGTGTTGTTTACAAAATTGAGAGGACGAAAAGCGAATGTCCGGTACTTTAACCGAGTTGGTGGACACGGAGGGTTCATCTAGGGAAGTTGGAAAACCCTGATTCCAAATCAATGGTGTAAATGGGCTTCAGTATCCTGAGGGAACAAATGGCGTGTGAACCAATTGTTGGTCACTGGCTACCATGGGACTGCATCTTCTGACGTTGCTCCACTACCTTGTGGATTAGACCTTCAGTTCAAAGGCTCAGGATGTGGCCCTCTAAGAACACCACCTGTGCAATATCCCAGCTTTCACACAAATCGAATGATTTATGTGGCGCATATCTATTTGGTGCCTCTTTGTACTTATGTTTATGTGTTTAAATAAAAAAAAATAAAAATGGCTCAGAATAGAAGCCAGTGGGGATCCTATTGTAGTTTTCTTCTGCATTCCAAACGTGTAAGGGATTCCTTTAACTGAGAAAAATCATCCTGGTGGCATGTTTTTAACAGGACTGTTTCTTTCCACTATGTATTGCTCTCGTTCACTTACTGTTATTCATTTTTTGTTTTCGATTATTTTCACCTTTCTTCTATCTTTTCATGAACTCATTTCCTTATTCGCGCGGCGCATATTTATTTTCATTCTCATTTGTACTAATATCTATATATTTTAAGTAAAAATGAATAAAATCTGTTAAAATTCCCATGTCGTATCCATAAATAATTATACATGATTTGATTTCATTTGTGCAAGTGAAATTTTTTGTTTTTGTATAAAGTAAATTTTATTTCATGTTGAATACCATAACTTTGAATGAAATCGGTAAATATGTGAGATTCTATAATATTTTTTGATTTCCACAGGAAGAAATTGTCCAATTTTTCACATTGCTCTGATTGGTCATATGCATCAAATCATGTTGCTAAACGTTACATTGAGAAGGTTGAAACTCATGTGTATTTTGATGATGTTCGTTTACAAATGGATGCTAAGCTTTGGGGTGAAGAATATAGTCGTCAACCGTCTGCACCAAAAAAAGTAATCGTTCATTTTTTGATATCTGCAATAATTAAATCATATTTTCTAGCGTGTTTGTTTAAAGGTTGTTCACACAAGTTAAATATAAGTTGTTAGTATAGGGTTATAGAGGTCGTTGAGTTTCACTAAAATCATGAAGCGATTTAAGTTAGGTAATCGTTTCGTCGTAGTATGTGACTGCTTACCAGTGTGCATCGATGACCCTGCAACCGGGAATCAAACTCAGGACTTTAGGTCTGGCGCGTGAACGCTTAACTTCCAGACTACTGGGTCCTGATCAAATGGTGCACAAGACCGAAGGTCCTGAGTTTGATTCTCGGTCGTGGGGTCGTCAGTGAGCACTGACGAAGAGTTCCAAATTTGAACGAAAAGGTCGTCCAGTGCTTCTAGGTTTTCAGTGGTTATCTAACTTAGATCGGTCCATGATTTCAATAATTATAAGTTGCTGAGAGTAGCTGTGTGGCTCTTGGATTTCCACTATTAAATTTATGTACAAAGGATGCTAGAAGTCATCGCTATCATACATGCTGTGCTGTTTATGTATGAGGACAAGCTGTGCTCAACTCAAGTGTGGAATGAGATCACGGAAAAGGAGGGTCTCTATGACTAGTGAAAAACCTCTGGCGTCAGTCTGAGTAGTACACCTCAAGACCGAACTCTCCGTGATAGTGTCGAATATTCAGGTAAAAGCTTCAAAGGTCAAGGCAGAATATCCTATGTGAATAGTAGTTAACTATGCGTTATGTGAATGTAATTGCTTCGGTGACCGGGACATTAATGAAGCATCTGATTACGAACTACTTCTGTATGGCAACTGCACGTAGCAAAAGATATTTTGTTTTATATTGTTGACTTTTCATTGAAAATGGGGAACGTTGTGTGCGCAGTCACGATCTCGAGGAGACATTGGCAGAAGATATGTGTAGAATTTCTTCCTCTTTGTTAATTGGGTATCTATGTTCTGGTGCCACTTTGCCCAGAGTTCGAAGTCTAGCCTTCGTAAAGCACTATAATTGTAGTACTCTTTAATCATTCGTATAAGGCTGACTAGGGCAATGCAGTTTTTCTACCATACTGTACTCTTGTCTGAAATGGGTCTCCAAGATGAAGAATCTTATAGGCAGCTAAATGACGTAGATAGAAGAAGTCGGTGAATAAAATCCTTAGGCGTTGAATTATACCTTGGATAAAATTGGTATTCGCGAAAACTTTGATGAGTATGTGAGTACCATGTGATAGGACAGTCATAAAAAAAACTCGTCTCTATTCACCCAAATTGTGAACGAGATGAATCTGCAGGAACAATTAATGGAAGGCTGAATACTACACTAACTAACTAAACTGATCGTTTTGTGTAGATCAATTGTCAAAGGCTGACAAGCCCCAAAACCCAGAGTTAAAATGTATACAGATGTTCGGCATTGCAATTTCACGCAGTTTGATTAACGTAGGGGATTACTGTGAAGTCCTTTAAGGTTATTAATAAATAACCCTGCACCAATCATCTCAAATCCTCTGCTAAAAGTTAAAACCTGATTTATGTTCAAAAGAAAGTATCTGTTTGTCTTCCCTTATCTAAATTGTATAATTACAGCAGAACAGAGAGTAAACCATCATGTTTTTATGCCATTCAGCTTGTTCTTTTCATAGCCACAGATTTGCTAGATTCCGTTTATATAAAACAGGCTCGTTATCTCAAAGTTGAAAACAGGCCTTGATTGTTTTTTGTTGTTGGTATAACGCCCAAATGTTAGTACTTTAGGCTTTCAAATAGTAAATAAGTTGAATACCTGTTCTAACCCTAGTTTGGGAAACTGGGGTTAGTATTACTAACTTTCACATAAAACAGTGTAATTCAAGGCTGAATACAAACTTTTGTAAGTTACGATTCTTTTTGTAAGTATCAATGCTAAGGTTGTACTGGATAGTTTCAAATAAATTGAACATTGGGTAAAAAGTTAATAATAAATATACTATTTGTGGTATCCCAATGAGTAGAAAACTGTATTTCTGGGGTTTCGTAACATAATGTAAGCCACTTCTTCAGCGCAAATAAATAGAATAAAATTAACACAAGTTTAAATAGTACAAAGGAAACGGTGAAGAATATTTTTCGTACGATCAGAATCATAATAGGTCTGAATATGTCAATGTCAAATTATATTACAATTGCATACATTTTTCATGCCCACCTTCTGACGCACAAATTAACATAATGACAGGTCACACAAATTCACCTTGACCAAAAATATCTTGATATTGACATATTAAGACCTATTATGACTGATTGCACTGAAAATGTTCTTTATTGTTAATTTCATTTCGGTTATTTATTAACTCGGAAGAAGTGGTTTACATTAAATGACGAAACTTCAGAAATACAGTTCTACTCATTGGGATATCACAAATAGTGTATTTATTATTATATTTCGTTTGTTTGAATTTCTTTATTTTAGTGTATTTGCTTCATTACATTGATTAGGTTGATATTTCACAAATGTGTGTATTGGAGTTTATTAATCGACCAGAGAAACCTCTATATCACTTGGAACATTTTATAGAAGGAACTTATCGAAAGTATAATTCAAATTCAGGATTTGTAGATGATTTATCACGAAACACTCCTCAGGTGAATTACTCGTTCATTCTCTTGGTTTTTCGATTGTTTTTTTTAATTGAAAGATTGAACATTTCAATACTGTCTCCGGTGTGTGCGCATCTATGTGTGTTGACTTATTTACAAGAGAAAAGGGAAAAGATTAATACTGTTAAAACTGTTGTAGTTAAATTCACTTGGTATTGTTTGCTTGAATCTTCCCATTGATGTTTAGGACTGCAATTGATCAATCTCTTGTTGGCATATGTACATCCTGTGCGGATTACCTATACCCGAACACCGATTACCGCGACGTGCAATGCTAACCGGTGTTCGGGATGGTTGGAAGAAAGTCAGGGGCGGCCAAACCAAAACGTGGTATCAGTGCTTGAAGTCACTAACCTGTAGTCTGAGCCATGTTGGTAAATTCAGACTACTTGGTTGGGGTCCGCGTGACTATCGTAACCAATGATTGGAGACTCTTGGTGACATGGCTCAGAATCGATCACAACGGTGTCGGTGTATACACTCTCCGTCTTCCCTTAAACTAAGAGATTAAAATCGCTTCATATCTTTCTTCCTACCAACTAATTCTTTCTTCCTGTACTATATCCTTATTGCAACCTTTCTTTTATATATTACCACCTCTGAATTAACTACTTTTATGAATCCGGTGTCCATCTTGTTGTGTTAATGAGGTATGGTAACTTGGACCGATGCGTATATGTGCCTGGTCCTACGTTGTAGCTGACTGACTGACTGATATTACCTTAAGTCACAAGCATTATAATTAGTGTACAATCTCAATTCCAACATCAAAATATACTTTATACTGTATTACTCTTTAAGGAAGTTTCATAACATCAATTTAAACAAAATAAGCACTTCTTTTCGGAGAATAACTCGAGAGAAAAGCAAATATTTTTTCATAGCATTCGAAGTATGCTTTAAGTGTGTTGTCCCACGAAATGGTTTCAAAAGAAGAACGTTAATCGTTTTTAATCACGGCCATGTCGGAAGTTGATACTTGTCACTGATAGTAGTTTATGATCTCAACAATGCTGCATAGTGCAAGCTTCGTTATTTAGTCTCCGATCAACAAAAACACTATCCTGTGCCTAGACATTCAACTCACACATTTAAGTTGCCAGCAAGTACCGTAACACCTGTTGAGCACACTTTGTTGGAGATCAGTTGGTAGCAATTTTATTTGCGCTCTAATCTGATGGAAGTAGAGCGAATATAACACAAACACGTTGCATGTCAAAACATTTATCTCTTACTCTGACTGAATATTACATACAACGTGGTTTCCGAACCAACTGATGGGAAACTAGTCAACAGTACTTTACTTGAATGCTGAATACAGATCTCTGAGGTATAACAGTTATTGAGAGATGTAATCTCCAGATGATGCATGTGGTTTTGAAATTACACCATCAAATATCACATTATGCGATATCTCTCGTAAAACAGCTGTGAAAGTTATTCAAACAGACCATAAATTTAGATGAAGATCTCTTAGATCACTGGAAGAATTGGGATAAACTGCATGAAACTAAAGTGACGTTAAGATCTTATTTTATGACTTCTTTTCATTAGAGTTGTAGATTGATAATTTAGGTACTAGAGGTGATCAATTATTAAGTGGAAATTCTGAACTCATACAAGTGACTGGAATGAATAAATCTGCAGTTTAGTATCATGTTAAAATTTAAACAACTAATCTAATAATTTCGGTACACAATTCTGTATATGATCACCAGATCATATTTTAATAATCATAAAATGTTTGTGCAAATAAATTTTTTTCTTTCATGTCCACATATTTTGCATGTATTCTTTAGGCCTTTAGTCACTTCACATTTGAACGAAGTGGTCATCGTTTAATTGTAGTTGATATACAGGGTGTTGGTAATCTATGGACAGATCCTCAAATTCATACATTCGATGGTAAATCTTATGGAGATGGAAATCTGGGGATTCGTGGAATGGCTTTATTTTTTTATACACATCGATGCAATCCATTATGTTTAGCTCTATCATTAAGCGCTTTCGATTTACCAATAAGTGAAAAACTATCTACACCATTTAGTCAATTATCTATGAAAGCGGCGGATAATCAGACTGAAAATACAAATGGGATCAGTGATAATAATAATAATGTAAGTTGAAGAATAACTCACTCATTCTCATTCCAAATGGATATCTTGCTCTAGATCTTTAGTTCTAGTTGTTTCTTCATAGATATCCTTTCGTTCTATCTTTTCAAATAATCTTCTTTAATGTTTAATACTTCTTATCATTGCTACCAAAATCATTTCTATTGCTTCAACATTCATTATACTAATTTTATCTCATGCCGATTTGATATAGCAACTTGGGCTAATGCACATATGTCCCAGGCTCTATGTTGATTGTGAATGACAGATTGAATGGATGTATCAATTGAAGAACGATTGGTTTGGTAATCAGAAAACACTGAACAGTTGTTTTATCCGTTTTAGGATCTCTCAGTAGTACGTACCATCTATGGAATTGGACAATCGTACTAAAATTTTCATCATCATCATTTTCTTCATGATTACTGTTGTGAGTATGCGAATACTAGAACTGTTTGAACTTTCAAAACTACCTTACGGACTATCATTGCTTATATTTTTACCAAGTAATTATTAGATAATCGGACTATTGTATTTTTGTCCTTGGTATAGTGAGCTTCCGTTAGACCTATCGACTACTGTTATACTTATTATCTTTTAATTATCATTAATTAACTATAAATTGTTTGCTCCATTCCCTACCATCTATTGTGTGATTGTGTGTAAAGGGTTATTTTTTGTTTGGAGTGCATTGCAGTGTGATAATTCATGTGCATAAACTAATAAGTATCTGAAGTAAAAATACTAGGTGCTTGAAATATGGATAATAGAAACTCCTTTGGCATGTTCTGTTACTCAGGACTAAAGGAAGAAAGTATTATGATGGGCGCTGTCTGAAACCTTCGAAGTGCAAAGTAATTTTACAAGACTGGCAGGATTCTAATCCTGTACTCACCCTGGATGGTGAGCAGATAGAAGTAGTCGAGAAGTTCGTATATCTAGGTAGCTGCATAAGTGCTGGTGGTGGCGTGAGTGATGAGATCAATGCACGTATATTGAAAGCCAGAGCGGCTTATGTCAATCTAGGCCATCTTTGGAGCCTTCGTGATGTCAGTCTGGCTGCAATAGGTCGGATCTACAACACGTCAGTGAGGGCAGTTTTGCTCTATGCTTGTGAAACCTGGCCTCTCTGAGTTGAGGACGTTAAACGACTCTGTGTTTGATCGTCTTTGTCTCCGATGGATTGCTGACATCCAGTGGCAACACCATGTCAGTAATGCAGAGGTTCGGCATCGTGTGTTCGGGTTCAGAGACGGTAATCCAATTGGTTTCACCATCTTGAAACATCGAATTTGGTGGCTTGGACATGTCCTACGAATGTCGTCCCAGAGAACTACACGTCGTGCATTATTTGCCGACTCTGGGACTGGTTGGAAGAAGCGGAGAGGTGGTCGGTGTATGAAATGGTGTCGTGGTATGGAAGAAAGCTGTAAAGGACTGGCTTCTGTCGGTCCTTCACGACTCCCTGGTTGGGGTCCGAGAGATGGTGCGACACAGTGGCTAGAGACGTTATCAGATATGACTCAGAATGGAAGCCAGTGGCGATCCTGCTGTAAACTTTTACTTTCTTCGTAAAAAGTGGTTGTATCTTCCTTAACTGAAAGATTACTTCTGGTTGTACTTTTCCGTTTCCCCCATTATTATTATCGTTATTATTATTATTATTATTATTATTATTATTATTATTATTATTATTATTATTATTATTATTATTATTATTATTATTATTATTATTATTATTATTATTATTATTATTATTATTATTATTATTATTATTATTATTATTATTATTATTATTATTATTATTATTATTATTATTATTATTATTATTATTATTATTATTATTATTATTATTATTATTATTATTATTATTATTATTATTATTATTATTATTATTATTATTATTATTATTATTATTATTATTATTATTATTATTATTATTATTATTATTATTATTATTATTATTATTATTATTATTATTATTATTATTATTATTATTATTATTATTATTATTATTATTATTATTATTATTATTATTATTATTATTATTATTATTATTATTATTATTATTATTATTATTATTATTATTATTATTATTATTATTATTATTATTATTATTATTATTATTATTATTATTATTATTATTATTATTATTATTATTATTATTATTATTATTATTATTATTATTATTATTATTATTATTATTATTATTATTATTATTATTATTATTATTATTATTATTATTATTATTATTATTATTATTATTATTATTATTATTATTATTATTATTATTATTATTATTATTATTATTATTATTATTATTATTATTATTATTATTATTATTATTATTATTATTATTATTATTATTATTATTATTATTATTATTATTATTATTATTATTATTATTATTATTATTATTATTATTATTATTATTATTATTATTATTATTATTATTATTATTATTATTATTATTATTATTATTATTATTATTATTATTATTATTATTATTATTATTATTATTATTATTATTATTATTATTATTATTATTATTATTATTATTATTATTATTATTATTATTATTATTATTATTATTATTATTATTATTATTATTATTATTATTATTATTATTATTATTATTATTATTATTATTATTATTATTATTATTATTATTATTATTATTATTATTATTATTATTATTATTATTATTATTATTATTATTATTATTATTATTATTATTATTATTATTATTATTATTATTATTATTATTATTATTATTATTATTATTATTATTATTATTATTATTATTATTATTATTATTATTATTATTATTATTATTATTATTATTATTATTATTATTATTATTATTATTATTATTATTATTATTATTATTATTATTATTATTATTATTATTATTATTATTATTATTATTATTATTATTATTATTATTATTATTATTATTGAATTACATTTCCTTACACTAATCTGATCGTTATTGTTCCTCTTTTTCTGTTTTTTTCTTTGACGCTCCTTACCTTTTTTTCTCCCCATTCTCGTTGTTTTGTGTGGCTCATATATATATCTGGTGCCTCTCGTACCAATATTTATGTGTTCAAATAAATAAATAATAAATAGATGTATTCACTCTTCATCTTTCGATCTTAAATTCCGGTATTTGTTCATGCATATCTTTCCACTCTTTCTTTTCATACAATCTTTACAGTTCTTAGTCTTTCTTTTTATCACCACCACATTATTTCGGTCTCTTATTATTTTCATTTCGTCGTGCTAATATAGTATGACTTGAACCAAAACATTTATGCTAGATTAGGGATCGAAGATACGACTCGAGAAGGAAATATAAACTGATGAAATAAACAGATTATGAAGAATTTAGAAACTTGAGATTTAAGGAAAGACGAAAAGTAAATGCACTTGCTCTATTGCGAATGGTTTTGAACCATACCACCCAACTTCTAACAATTAGTTACATCAGCCAGATGGTCTTCCTCTACTTACGTGACTCACTCTATTAGTTTGTCTTTATGAACTGATACCATGTCTTAGTTTATCCCGTTCTACCTTTCTTCCAACTTACTCCTACATCAATCATCATCGTATATGCGAAGTAATCTGTGGATAGACATGCGTAATACGTATCCTCACAATCTTAATCATTAAATATTTACTACCTCATCAATTTATTGGCCACGCTTACCTAGTACACTGCACCACACGACAAAGATGACGCGAATTCAGGTATATGGTTTTGTACTAAAAAATTAATCAGTTGCATCAAATTTTAACTTCTATCAACAAAATCTCTAAATCGGCTCTTCAATACAGTCTTGAATGCATTCAGTTCTAATTTTCCTAACTATATGTAAGTGTTTTATCATCCTTGGTATTTCATTCTTTTGTAACCTCTTTTTCTTTACTTTTCTTGTACTTTCATTTATGTATTTACCATCTATGTTCTGTAATATCATTTCTTACCCTTTTTAAATTTTCCATCTGTTGAGTTTTCACTTATTTTACTGACATAAAACGTGATAGTTTCCGCTTATTTTCTATGCCATGAGTTAATTCTACTTGTATTTTCTAAAAAAATTTTAATGCTGACATATTCGATATTCTAAATAGTACAGTTCAATGTGAGTTGAGGTTAAAAGTCTCAAACAAATCTACCAAAATTGTAATACTAAAATTGATCAGTTCACATGATATTCAGATTGTGTGTAACTTTCAGGATTTGATAGGTTTACTCTCTCCTGAAGGTACCTTGTGTGCTAAAGCAGTGTGAGGAGCAGTATGTGAAAGAATCTGAAAGAGAAAAAATACCAGATAAAAAGTGGACCGTTGACTCATAAGATGCAATTGCATCTAATAATGAAAGTAAATGATAACAGTCAAAAATAGTACAAGTGTGAGATTAAGACAATTTGATAATTGAAACAAGAAATTGATAGCGTATGGTTTCCAACGCGTTAAAGTATAATATCTTAAAAATAGTTTACTGTATACTAGATAATCTTTTGAATGTCCATATCAATTTCGTTTTTAAATACTATTGAACTTATGAAGATGTATGATAAATTAAACGAGACTAAACTATAGTAATGAAGGAAAATAGTATAGGTTTTTTGGATAACGTACACTGACCTAGATTGTCTCAAATTTTTATAATTTTTTGCTTTTGAAATTATATCTACATTTTTTACTATCTCATTTTATGGTTACTTATCTGTCAAATTTTATCTTATTAATTCACTTAGTTTAAAGAGGAAACACAAAGGGATTGTTGTTTTTCGTGATAATATAGATGGATGAGATTCATAACAAAAAATTTATTATTATTCTTATTATAAATACATCGAATTAATTATATGTTAACTATTTACCTAACTATATACAATCAGGTGGAACTCAGTGGAACAGTAGCTATTCCAGCTTCTCGTCGTGATCGATATGGTATCCGTCGTTTGGTTTCAGAAAATATTGATTCATCTTATGATTTACAAAACAATGCCAATAATCACAACAATGACACTAGTAGTGATTTTGTAAGTCCAATCGACTTTGTAGAGTCTCATAGTGTACCTTCGCCTAAATTACCATTTCTACCTTCAAGATCTCCTGTTTTATGTAGAAATGATATATTACAAAAGACTGATCAGATCAATCATAATTCAAATGTCATTTCTAATAATGGAAAACACAATACAAAGTATAGTAATAATAATAATACTACTACTACTGATAATAATAATAATAATAATGGTAATAATGATGATGCACGTAATGATGATTTAATATTTGGTCCAATTTCACTTCATAATAATTCGTATGATTCTGGTATAAGTTTTGATGGCCCATCGTTTGGTAATGTGTTCAAAGCACAACAAAGTATTATTAGTGATCCTGGTTGTGATCCAGTATGTTCAGATTTGGATCAGTCAAATTCTCACTTGAATTCCAGCGAAAGTTCACAACAGCTCAGTAAAGTAAGTTTTTGGAAACTTTTTATTCCAGGAAAAAATTATTTCTAAATGCACTCATTGGTAATAATAATAATCGCAATACTATTCTTCTCATCTTATTATGCGTTTACATCTTATTCTCAGATATTAGTGTCGTAAAAAATTTTAAATTTTCATCAACATTTCGTTTTCAACTGTTATCTTAGTACATACTTACAGTTAAAGCTGCGCGTTATGATAGCTCAGTTGATCGGTACGATGCCGTATAACTTGCTCCCCATGTTCCAACTGAATAGTTATTAGAAGACAAAACTGTTAACCATGTCTGGCCAATCGAATGTAACTCTGACGTAATGAAACACGGTTTAATAGTTACGACTAAATTATTCTAGACATCATCTGTAGTTATTATTCTGTTTTATTTTTACAAGCACTTCTTGGACCACTCTGTTTATGTTTGAAAACAGCTGCTATTTCAGAGCGATCAAACACTTAGTTTCAGCCAGATTACTGCCTATAATATTTGTCTTTGAGGGAGGGGGTTGGAGTTTCGTCATGGGTTCAGAAAGCTCAGTTGGCTTTTTCATCTCGGGTCGCTTATGGTGTAACACAGCATATCTTTGGCAGACAAAAGAGTGTGTATACTGCGATGCAGCTTTATTCTTTCCACTTTATGGCTGTGTAACATGACCTTTAAAATTAAGTTATTCGTAGATTACTAGTATATGATCATACATTCCTACAAGAAATTTCTGGTGTATACTGAGAACACTGTGTCATCAGTACTGAGATTAGATACAGGACATTACATAAAGATGTCAAATAGATTGATGAGGCAATAAATATTCAACAGCTGAGTTGTACACTCAACGACTTTCTACATATATGTGATATGTTTACAGGTACAGGAGTCGTTTGGAAGAAAGCTAATGGAAACAGAACTAAGACGTGACATCAGTCAATGAAATAATTGCCTCAATTGTTGTTTTGGCCTTGTTCATAGTAATTAACTGTTGGATTTGAGTTGTACATGCTGACACAGACTATCAGGTTGAGGTCCTCGAGATTATCGTAACCAATCATCGGAGACGTTATATGTCACGGCTCAAAATCGTTCGCAATGGCCTAGGTACATTCATTCTTCGTCCTTCCTTAGATATTGAGTTTAAAAATTGTCTCGTGATCTTCCCTACAAATTCATATTTCCTTGAATCCTATTGTCTGTGCCTGATCTTTACTACTATTCTAGATACTGTTTCTACTACTCTAGTATCTCTCTGAGCTGATGGTATGTCAACCTGAACCGATCCACACGTATCAGGTTCTAAATTAAGCATGGATGATTGAAGAAAGGGCTGGCAAAATGTTTGATTGGTCAAAGTTTCTGTTAAAACTACCGTTAAAATTATTATTTTAAACAATTTATATAAGTGTATTTTCCAAATATATATTTATCTAAATAACACCAAAAACTCCAGATCTTCGAGTCAGTCAGTCAGTCAGTCAGCTACAAAGTAGGACCAGGCACATATATACATCGGTCCAAGTTGCCATACCTCATTAACACAACACCCGATCACTTGTTGCTACCTTGACCTTGTGGTCGGGCTTGCCTATCGTGATGAAGCAACCGAGCTATACTGACTGAAACAACTGTTCCTCAAGGTCCTACCACGTCAGGAAGGTCGGTTGAAGAGCGGTAAGACTAAAAGCAACAAACCTAAGGTCCGAAGGCGAAGTCGTACTGCTGACTGTACAGAGGTGTGACAGCAGTAAGGTGTTTCCTTCAGACAACCAGCATGAAAGCGATGCTGCCTTCCCACAAGGAGTGGTGGGGTTATAAAAGGTCGACCCTAAAAATGCACACCTTGCCTTATCCCACGGATATCCGTCTCCGGCGGTAAGGTCTCAACAAGTATGGAGCTAACACAAAAATTGCCCATAAAAAGGTTGTGTGTAACCGGCCTCAAGCAGTTGTCCCTTGGGCTCTGCGGTCACGCTCCCAGGTCACTAAGACCACTTCTAATCCAATTTCCTTTTCAGGTACCTCCAGAAGAACCCTTCCACGGTGTGGGCAACCGGGAAGTGATAACCGCCCTCATACCTCTAGCAGCACTCAAGACCACTGGATTCATAATCAACCTTCAAACCTTAACACAACAATATGGACACCGAATTCATAAAAGTAGTTAATTCAGAGGTGGTAATATATAAAAGAAAGGTTGCAATAAGGGTATAGTACAGGAAGAAAGAATTAGTTGGTAGGAAAAAAGATATGAAGCGATTTTAATCCCTTAGTTTAGGGGAAGACAGAGAGTGTATACACCGACGCCGTTGTGATCGATTCTGAGCCATGTCACTATGAGTCTCCAATCATTGGTTACGATAGTCACGCGCACCCCAATCAAGTAGTATGCAATTTATAAGAACTAAAAATAAATAAGGCAATTTATTGCATGTATTTTCTCTCATTATAGTAGTATATCTTCCTCACAAGATTTGGCCAAGTATTTTCTATTTGGAATATGTTTTTTTAATATAGTTCGCTTTTAAATTATCTGACAATAAACAGTGAATAACCATAGTGACATGCATATTTATCGTAAACGTTTGACTGAAATATTTTTAAAATTGTTATTGTTCTCGTTATTTCTTAACTTGTCATACATATTGATTATTCGTAAATTTACGTGTCTGTCAGTCAGTCAGCTACAACGTAGGACCAGGCACATATATGCATCGGTCCAAGTTGCCATACCTCATTAACAAAACAAGATGGACGCCGGATTCATAAAAGTAGCTAATTCAGAGGTGGTAATATATAAAAGAAAGGTTGCAATAAGGATATAGTACAGGAATAAAGAATTAGTTGGTAGGAAGAAAGATATGAAGCGATTTTAATCTCTTAGTTTAAGGGAAAACGGAGAGTGTATACACCGACGCCGTTGTGATCGATTCTGAGCCATGTCACTATGAGTCTCCAATCATTGGTTACGATAGTCACGCGGACCCCAACCAAGTAGTCTGAATTTACCAACATGGCTCAGACTACAAGTTAGTGACTTCAAGCACTGATGCCACGTTTATGTGTATTTACATTTGATCATTTTCCACATACATAATACACAGAGTACATAGAATAATATCAGTTATCGCAATATCACTTTAAATTCGGTGCATTATCGTTTTTTGTCTTACATTATGTTTACATTTCGTGTATATTCTGCTAGAATAGTTTATTCATACTGACTTATGTGATATAGAATCTGATATGTAATGAGATAATCCAAGTTAACATAAAATCATTAAACAGATTTCTTGACTGCGATATAATGGTCAACCCCACCTATCCTCTAGAATCTCACAATTATCAATAGTCCATAACCTTCTCAAATTGGTATTCTCTGTTAATTTGACTGTTTCACATTCAGTCGTACAGTATGTTTGATATATTGAGGTAACTGAAAAATCCTTAACTATATCCCATTAGATCATATCATACAAATTCAAAGTAATGTAACCAGATGGATGAATTAAGCAAGCGATTTTCATTTTTAGAAAATCCTAGTGTTACAAACGTTTTTAAAAGACAGTTGATTTCAGAGACCCGGCTTTAGTTTGGAAATATTTACTTAATTGATTTTCTGGAAATATTTTATAATTTGAAAACAACAGGCTATAAAAAACTTTTATAATTCAGGGTAGGTAGCAGTTTAAGACTTCTCACCGGCGTGAGCTTCTTAATTCAATGTCGAATCGATCTTAGGGGCTTCCCTGCTAGCTAGTCATAATAGACGTAGAGCCTGGGATAAATGTATATCAATTCATTACACCAACCTTATCAGCTCGAGATAAAATTAAGTTGAATAGTAGTATTTGTAGTAGCGGTGATAGTGGGAAAGACTGAACTTTAAGATCAAGGGTACTGAGAGTCTCCTTCTGGTAAGTGGGAACCGATGACCTATGAACCTATTCTTGGTCACCAACTGTCATGGAACCACATCCCCTCACATTGTTTCACTGTCTCGTGGACTAGGCCTCTAGATCAAAGTCTCAGAGGATGACCCCATTTTTGAGAAACCACTTGCTTCAGTTTAGGGACCTGAACGGTATCCCAGCCTGCACATATATCTGATGGTAACTACTTGTGTGATGCATATATATTTCAGTGCCCCTTTGTACCAATGTTTATGTGTTTTTATGTAAATGCTATGTGGCTGAGTCATTAAATCGAAATCTAACAGTTCACATTACCAACATTCAATTCGTTTTATTACCATCTTCATTCTCTGTTTGATTGACTGTACCGATCATGGCTTCCTACTACATATTCAGTAAAGTTATCTCGAAGTTAGTTATTAGTGTGAATATTCAAGTGGTTTTGTTGGGTGTTGTTTAAGTTGGAGAAACTATTCAAACAATTTGTAATTCAGCCAATCTTTGTGTTCTTAAGGTAAATTAATTATATACGCATGTAACGTTCGCTAATTCCAGTATTTGAACTAAGGCATCTAACAACAAGTTTGCTTACTGTTTATAATTTTATGCTCTGAAATTTGCCCATAAATGCACATTCTCTTTCGTGTTAATTTTGATTGTAATACGTACGTACTGGTTTCGTATTGCCTCTAGAACTTGTATTCCTAAACGGGAAGTCATGTGACTTTTTCTGCCAATAAATATCATGATGTGTCTGTCACACTATAATGATCAATATGATATTTATAAATCGGCCTGGATATCATAGAAAAAACTGCAACTTTTTTTAGGTATGACACTTAGTGTTAATGTGTCCAGTATCCTCTACTGGATGGTATTTTGACTGACGTAAAGTGTGTGTATCGTTATTGTATCACAGGTCTCCACAAAACGAATGTTTTGCTCATAACCGACTACATAATTAATGGGTACATATTACTTGTTGTCTATGTGTTCAAATTATATTACGAGCTGGCTAATGTTGAAAATATACACCAGTGATTTAAAGAATATCGTATTCATTACAAGACCTAGAGTTTGTAGTTTACCGCCGTTAAAAATTACTAAACTAGAATGAAATAATTGTTATATTCCATTTTGGTTTTTATTCGATCTTTTGTGATGTAACATATCAAGTATGTAATTGAGTTAATAACAAAGCATAGTTGTTTATTAAGCCTAGCGGACGTAGGAGTTTTTGAACTTTTGCTCATCTTGGGAAAACGAAGTGATATTCACTATTTTATCAATAAAATAACAAAGTGTTTTTTCTACAATTAATTGGTCACTGAATAATGTCCATTTTCATATTTGAATAAAGCGAGAAAGACATAATTCACAGAATAAAACATAGTGTATTCAGTTTATGTAGTAAATCTTGTTGTTCTCTCTTTATTTAAATTTACCAGTGAATCTGGAAGTATGAATTGTCGCGTTTTCCTAGTCCTTAATTCTGATTGAACCCCATCGACTAAGTCGCAATTTGGTCACTAGTCTTAGCGACTCGACTTTGTGTGCTGTGAGTTTAGTTGTTAAATGGTTGGAGGCAGTCATCATGGAACTCTGGAACTAGTTTTTGCTCTACTTGACATTCGCCAGCAAGGCATGCCTGTAATCTTGAAAGAGACGGTGCTCCCAGTGGGATTCCAACTGACATTGCTCAGCTTCGCAATCTGAGATGTTATCGCTAAGTTCTTCGGATCACTACCGACTACCTGCAATCACCTAACAATAACGTTTTGTTTACCATAGGCAGTTCTAAGTTAATTATTACGGATTTTTTCATCCAAAGTTCAAGTTTACATATCATTTGATAGTGACTTTCGACTAATCATCGTAGATAAACCTTTGTATATCTTGAATTGATAACAGCTGATGTACAATTAAGTTTGTGAACCGATTGAGAACTTGATACCGTTATCACAACACTTATAAGAAATCAAATAAGTTTTTTTCTATCCTTTCAATGTATTTGGATCGACAATCACTTTTGAATGTGGTTGGGAATAAGCTATGATTTTCACTTACACGTTTTAAAACGATACATGTGGAAGTGTGGTAAAAAATGGAATAATTATAGTGGTTAGATAGATATGGAGCATCCACCTAGGGGAGTTGGAAAACCCTGATTCCAAACCAATGGTGCACATGGGCTCCAGGATCCTGGAGTAACAAGTGGCGTGTGAACCAGTCGTCGGCCGCCGACTACCATGGGGATGCATCTCCTGACGTTGCCCCACTGCCTTGAGGACCAGACCTCTAGGTCAAAGGCTCCGGGTGTGGCCCCCTAAGAAAACTACGTGTTTCGGTTTGGGCACCCGGGCAGTATCCCAGCCCTCATACAAATCGGATGATTTATGTGGCGCATATCTATTTGGTGCTTCCTTGTACCTATGTCCATGTGTTTAAATAAATAAGTAGAATGTTTTTTTCAGATTTCCATGGTATCTTTATTGAAAATTTAACTACACAAAGGGTATATTTATTGCTAGCTACACATGTTTATTTTATATATTCAATAATTCATAGGTAAATAGGATGAGTTCACCTTATTTTTGCTAATTTCATTCCTTTTGAGTATTTTAATAAAACCTTGCTTTGTGCTTGTGTTATGACTTTTGCCCTGTTTCTTATCACGTGACCGAATCGCCAATTAGAACACAACTTATATGACCTTGACGCTATGACAAACCAATGACGCGTTAATCAACTCTGTTATAACTTGTGGCCTGAATGCCCTGCTAATGTATACGCAATGATACCGCCAATTAGGGAGCAGTGAATTATCGATCGGACCAAGGACGTGTAAAACCCGTACGAGCAGTCTAGAGTCCTGACTGGTCCTACTTTCCGCCTAGCCCAGCCAGTTAAGTCCAGAACATCAATCTCAGCCTCTTCAATATGAATCATTTATTTCAAGCATACTGAGTTTATATACCAACTAGACAGACCACATCGTACCATAAAATATGAAACAACATTTGTACAAGAATTAGCCAAAAATGGCTGTGAATGAGGGAGGTAGTAATTAATAGACAGGGCATAATTCAAGCATGGTAGATCATATAATAGTAGTTCATAGGTCAGTGTAACGCTCATAATAAGGGGGACATGAATACGAACAGTTTAGTTATTCAACAATTATACGATAAAAATATACTCATATTATTGATCCTTAAATGGATCCCCAAAGTTACTATCCATTATGCTTATCGGGACATAACAGAGTCCTTATTGGCTCTTGTTGCCTTGTTTTGCCCGTTGAGTCCAAAACACAATTTCAGCTTATACTACATGAATCATGTATTTCAGATATGCTCAGTTTATATACAAACAAATGAGACCGCATGGTACCATAAAATAGAAAATAATAAAAAAAGATTAAGTCAAAAGTGTCTGTGAGTATAACAGACTAACTAATAAATCGGGAATAAGTTAAAAATAGTAAATCCTATAGTAGTAGCCAATATGTCAAATAAAAGTTTATATTAAGAGAAGTATAAATAAGTATTATCTAGTTATTTAATATGCACATAACAACAGTTCATAAATAATTCCTAACAGTTACTGTTCATTTATTCTTCGTTAGGATTGAAAATTGTGTTTAAATGGTGATCTGTAAGTTATAGTGAGTGTCTGATGTCTGATAATAGGAACTCTGTTTGATCTAAAATTTAGATTATTAAACCGAATTTTCATAGTATCAATTATTCCGATTTCTTATTACGTAAACTCATTTCAAAATAAACGAACCAATATCATTTCCGAATGTGAGTTGTTTAGAAGTTGTCATATGAGATCCCATACACTCTTGTTGATACAACTGTGTGCTATTTCTTTTTACCATAAGTTGTTCAATTCATATTACTGTATTGTGTGAATCTCATTATATGATTCACCAGGGATTTGAAATCTGTTGACTTTGGAAGCATCGGGTGGTGATCGAGAGATATCGTGAACCGGCCATTTGATTTCTACGCAGTGGTCTAAGGCTGCTGTGCTAACTACACAGGTTGAAGCTGATGAGTTTGTTCCCTTTATGAGGTTATAAGTGAACATCATTGAGAAGTGCTATACTACGGTGAAATAGTTCTCGATTTAATATTATTTTATGATAGAACTGCATATCTTTAGGATAGTTTTTTTCAACAACCCAGAATTTTGGTGATTATAGTATTCTCAACATAAATACATGACTAATAATCACGTTAATGTGTGATGGGAATGCATAAACAATTTAGTGGTAGAGGTGGAAAATACTTTTTAAATAACGATGAGAACTGGTAAACCGTTTACATCAATAATAACCGACATTGAGATAAGGCTTTTATGTATTTTATCAGCCTTTTTATATTGCTTGTAATTTCAACGCATGTGATTTGTTAAAGTTGGAAACATCTTGAACCACTTAAAAGTTTGTTTTTAAACATATACATTGAAGTTTTTTTTATACTTTGTATACCTGAAATATAGAACAATGATTTCATAGTTCAACGACTTACTTTTGGAATATTACCTTCCAAGCTTTATTTGAAGAATTTAGTTTATGTATACTCAGTCATAGTTTCATAGTTGACATCACAAACCTTGAATCTGTTACATTCTGAATCAATAGCAAATTTCATTTATGACATCTATATTTGCATTTCTAATAGGCAATAAATAACATATTCTTTTTAGAATATTAAGTAGTGTTTATCTAATTAATTTATCATCGGTATTTGCTCAACATAATCATGATTTTATAAAAAGATTATTATATGTAATGTTACATTTGTTTTTGTTTAATTATTTTTTTATTTATTAGGAAGCTGAACTCATTGAATTTTTTCGTTTACATCAAGCTGGTCATCGAAGCAGTTCCATTGCAGCTTTACATGGTGCTGATACTGTAATTTTAGGTTTAGTAAGTATATGACCATTTTATTACTATTGATAATTTATCAATATCTTATTATGTTGATGAAATTAATTTTACTTGTATGATAATCATTTTCATGTATTAATTATAATGAATATAATAGGACTGTCATCAAAATAATTATGGGGATATTATTAATTAAATATATTGATTATTGAATTTCCCTCTCATTAGATATTAAAGATTATTTCGAAATTTATAAATATCTGACCGCATTAAAGAGTATTTCTCTCCAGAAAAATAATATCCGACCCCCAAACTCTGGGTAGTAAGAATCTCAGAAATGAAATGATTTTCAAAAAGAATGATAATTGGTCGGGAGAGCCTTTACTTTCACTGAATTGCGAAAATATCTGCTTTCTGTGTATTGGAGTTGTATTCTGGTCTGTTTATAGTAATATGATGATATACATAGGCTACTTAAATTGTTTGAGTAATTTCACTAGAAAACCTTATGATAGAATATGTTGAAATACAAAGAAGCATCTCACTTCATCTTTTTATACGGATACATTTTTTACTCAATCCATAGCGACCTTGAAGTATGCTTTGTTCGATAGTAAACAGGTTAGGTGATTAAAACTTATTTCCAATTGATTGATTACTGGGTGGTGACCAAAGGCATACATATCAGATTCTTTTTTTAGTGCTCACAGAATCCTATCGATCAATTTTTAATGTGTTCACTAGTCTAGATGACTCGAATTGACGCGTTATATGTGATAGACAAGGTGATGGTTGTAGGCAGTCAACAAGAAACCCCGTTTAAAACTCGTCAGCATGGTGTACCTGTACTCTTGGGAGGACTGATTCTAGGAAGCATTACTTATATGTACACCTTGCTGATGAATGTCAGATACCGCGAAACCTAGGTTAAGCAAGGTTTCCTGTCAATTGCCTCTGCTAAAATGATCACAAGAAAAGTCGAATTTTATTAGATCTTTTCAGAAAAAATAAAAGCTCGCACAATTTGTGCCAATTTGATCTCCTGTATGACCTTTGCCCTCGGATTGATTGTCATCGTTTTTTTATTTCTCTAAATTGCTGTATGCTCAAAGTTCATACTCTGCTACCATAGTAACAACTTTTGTACCGATTCCGGTTGTGTTGCTTGTCCGTATCTTAATATCAAGTTAAAATTCCGTCTTTCTGTATTAGCTGTCGAGGTTTGATATATTTTGTGTAAATGACTGTTTCCAATTCCGAAGAAAACCGACCATATTAGAGTAGCTCAATCGTGTTTGTTGCTAGATTCGTGACATCGTAGGCCATATTGAACTCCGATAACTAGACACAACAACCTCCAATAATCTTAGATTGCGATTTATATAACAAATAAACAGTTAGTAAAGGCACTTCTCGTTTTTATGAGTGGTTAGAGGATGTATAACCTTTATCAGTTGATTTTTTACAGAAAAGGAGACATTGACACTAGAAAATGTCATAAGATCTCTTGGAATCAATTTCAGTTGATTGGAAGCTTATTATTTTTTTTCTGAATGTGTCGAAATTAACCGTCGTATAATTATATTTGGTAGTTAATATCCCCAAGACTAATTTGTTTCACCATGTTAGATGTTGTATGATAAATCGTCTATGCATCATTGTGCCCGTTTCTTTGCTTTTAAACAATATTTGTTTGATGATGCTAGTGTGTGTATGTAAACTGTTTAAATCAGTTACATTTGGATTACTTAGCGACATGTTTGATAATCGAAAGCCATCAATATAAAACACCTAGTTTGTGTTTTCTATCAAATCTCGCTCTACCTATGTATGCATTTTGGAATGTATAGAGGTTAATTCCTCTATTTTGATAACTTTTTAACTGTGTATTTTCTAGTTGACTAACTCTCTTAGTATCTCGAGGAATTCACTTGAGAGTGTTCAAAAGCCAAAATATACCAGTCGTCTTGTTCAATCACGTTTCTAATGTCACTCCTCGTAGAGCAAAGGTGGCCAACCAAGATCCTTAACCAACTCTGTTCTGGGTTCCCCTCTCAGATTGTTGTCTACCGGAAGGTTTAATGGCTTTACTTGAAAATAATGATTCATGGTCTTGTAGTCAAAAGGAAATCTATCTGTCAACAAATTAAGCTGTGATCTGGACACTTTGAAGTATCCAAAAATGTCGTGAAATTTTATTCTTAATAGCTGAAATCTAGCAAATGTATTCTTGTAAAAAATCCATTGAGATTGTTTAGTATCTTAATATTGGGAAATGAAGTTAGTTTTGTTCCTCGATTCATGTAGACGTCAGATCAGGTTAAATTTCAAACATTTTTTAAATAGTTTAACAGAAAGTGCGATGTTTCTTCTTCTGACCTCTCTGTTTATTACGGATTTCTAAACCAACTTTTTGGCCTTAGTTTACCTACTTCTCTTGTAGTGAATGGAAATACAGTCATAAAAATTATCCCAAATAAAACAAAGTGTATATCTATATCCCAGTTACAGGCTTCCAATAATAATTTTTAGAATGTAGCCGAAGGCGATATATAGCAGATGTGTATAAGCAACATAAATATTTAAGTTCGGTGCAGAATTTCAAGTTAAATCTTCAGTATGAGGGTTGTGGAGGTTGTTGAATTCCATTGAGAGAATCAACTTATCTGAATCAGACCACCATTGGAAACGTAAAAGCACTAGATACCCATTTCGTTCTAGTATGGAACTCCTCACCAGTATATATCCCGCGCGCACACTGATGAGCAGTCCCATACTAGGACGAAACGCCCATCCAGTACTTCAAGTTAAATGTTCACCAGTTCCTTCTGTCCATAGTCTGCTACTTCTACACTTTATAGTTACTCAGTCATCGTAAATAATCTTTATAAATAAATAACTCATTAGTACTACTTAACTTTAACTAAAAACTATCAGAAAATACTTCACACTTTATCAGGACACGTTCCGACTTGTTTTTAAAGCATTGTCATCAAAATACAAATGAAACAAATAGAGTTTGCAACACAATTTACTAAAATCTTTCTTCATTAAAAATGTTTTCCACCAAAAATAGTCATGAGTCATGAGCTGTTGAGTTTATATATAAATTATGTATTATAATGAGAAAAACAATAGATTATTTAACTCGATTCATTCTTTCCATATGATCTACACGCATACATTCACTTAAATTTAAACGCCACTTTTTCGAATTACACATTCTTCGCACCCTCTATCATACACTCTAATAAACAGTAATGTCTTATATAGAATTACTTTGACCAAACAGTTCACATGAGATTGACACAAGCAGACCTATTTTTTTAAAATTATTTATTTATTCATTTAAACACATAAGCATTAGTACGAGGCACCAAATACATATGCACCACCCAAATTATTCGGTTTTTGTGAGAGGTAAAGCAGGTAGTTTTCTTAGGGAACCATTCCTCAAGCATTTGATCTAGAGGTCTAATCCACAAGTCAGTGGAGCAACGTTAGGAGATACATTAACATGGTATCAGGGGTCCGACAATTGTTCCCTCAGGATCCTGAAGCCCACTAACCTGGTTAAAGCTCCGGACATTAGCTTATTGTTGTAAGGCTCGGTTTTCGTCGTCTTAGACGAATAACCACACTAGATACCCTCCCAGTGTCTATTCTACAGGACTTCAACACAATGCATTTCTTATCCATTTCCATCGTTTTTTCCTAATTTACTCTTCAGCTGGAAGCTTGTTTGTTCTCCCACAATAGGCTGTTGTTGATGTCATCCGGCCAACGGACATTGAGTATATTGCATAGACAACTGTTTATAAATACGTGTACCATTTGGATGATTGTTGTAGTAATTCTCCAAGTTTCAGCTCCGTACATTAGATCAGTCAATGTTACATATGAAATCCTACTGTTGCTCTATGAAAATATGTCAGGTCAGAATGGAGAACCTCATCGTCTGTATAAATATGGGTTGATTGGATTATAACTTTAAAAAAATATGGAATAACAGTTTACTTATTTGTAATTCGCTGATTTTTATCATTGTTCATTGTAAGATCTTCAACTTCCTTTCGAAAAGATATTTTCAATGCTCTGATAAATTAAAAAAAACTACAATTGAACATCAACCTAATATACTCTATAGTACTTTAATGTAATTCAACTTAATATGATGAAAAACAATTTTCTTTTCTTTACCAGATACATCATGAATTGGCTCGTTTACATGCTTCTGGTCGTTTAGCTTTAATGCATCAAACCGGTTATTGTCAATTAAAGTGCAATGAAATTAAAAAGCATCAACCTTCTATAGATATTGAGCAAGAATTGAATGGAAATCAATTGAATGAATTAAATCGCCCACAAAATGTTAATTGGGAATCAGTTTTATTTCATTTAGAACAATCAGCTAAACTTGGTTGTTTAGATGCTATTCAATGTTTAGCTCAATATTATTTGAATTTAATGATTGATGGTCCATTATCAGAATGTCCAATTAAAGTTAGTCTATTTACTGTTTCAGTTTTATCATTGAAAATAAGATAATGGTTGATGTGTTTAGATTTGTTGACTCAATTAAGATCATCTTTGATTAACAGCTGATGATTAATGATCCTGTTTTGAACTCAACGAATTCGATTAAGTAGGGTATAATTAGTCATTAAAACTTTCGGATACAAAGAAACTAATAGATAGTTATTATTTCATAGAAATCACAAACCGATCAACGTCAGTCAGCCATTGAAAACCTGCGAGGACTGGACGGTCGTTCTGTCTTAACATGAGACTGCTCATCATTGCTCACTGACGACCCTACGACTGGAAATCGAACCTAGGACCTTCGGTCTCGCGCACGAACGCTTAACTTTAAGATCATTGTAGCCGGAATCCAATGATGTAAAACTCTAGCTTGGCCTCACCACTTCTATAGAATAGTCTTTCTGACTCCATAAATTGTTTTATGCCTGATATACATCCCGGATTAATTTCGTACATGTTCTAGGACCTGCCACATTGCTAAAAAGCAATATCAAAGGTCGAGATACGAGATAAATATATCCCATACATTCATTTATGTAGGCGAACTATAGGAGGAGATAGATGCATACAGCACGAATTCTCCACACTAGCCAACTCACTAAGTATTTCTGTCTCAGTTTATATGGTTCAAATAAACAGTGGATACGATAAGTAAGTACAGACATACACACAAACAAATTACACATATAAAAAAGTTTAGTATGGTTAATAGAATTAACGAGGATGGATGCAAAAAGTATACTTATATGGAACAATTGCTTGTGGGAAGTATACGATTATAAGGGGATAAAAATGAATCATTAGTCTTATTCTGTTTGAATTTTTATTACCCGTTGAAATAATAATTAATTGTCTCAGATGTGTTTGTACACATGCTCCGTATTTTTAATCACCTATCTTTGAAGCATTCGTCGCGTATCCATGTATCGACTTACTGTGAAATACTGAAGTGGTAGTAGAATGATACTAGGTAAATATGGCAACACTTTCAAAGAGTTTTTCATAAAAATCATGTTAGTGATAAACTTCTTGACGAATACATTTTTACATCTTTTTGAATACATATAATTTGCTTATATGGTTATTGGCAAATTTTAAATAAACATTTGCGTTCATAGGATGTTTTTAAGTTTATCTATTGAGTGCTTAACTATTTCCTTGGAATCCAGATTTCTATCATAGTGGTAATTATTTGCACTATATTTATGCACGAACTTTGAGCGACGCTAGTGTGACGTTGAAATAACTACCTACTTACTAGAGTCAACATAGGGTTATAGATTATTATGTTGAATTAGGGTTGAGAATCAAAATAAGGGTTTTCCTCAGGAAGTGAGATCAGCTATACTGCCCAAATACTATTTAACTTATGTATAAATGAATTTCGCGCCAAAATCCAAGAATTGTTTTCCTTAGTTTCGTTGGTTCATTCATAAATTATAGTATCGCCCTCATATCGTTAAATTGTTTCTTGTTTTTGTTAATATTTTATTTCTTCTTCATGAGGAATTCTTGGGTCACACAGATTATGAATTTAAAATTAAATTGACCACCGATTATTTATCAGTATCATGTAGTATGTCAAATTCTTCTTAGTGCTTATTGGATCCTATTGATCAAGTTGCAATGTGGCCACTAGTCTATGTTCCGATGAAAGATGGTGGTTGGAGGTAGCTTACAGAAAACCCTGTTTGACACATAGGCTTTGTGCTATTTGACACTCGTCAGCATGGTATACCTGTGATCTTGAGGGGACTGATACTCGCTGGTGGATCCAATGTCACCCAGTTTCACAGTCAGCGGTATTAACACTGAGTCATTTAGGCCACGACTGAATTAATGAAAGTTCTTAATAAGTTATGGAATCACTTTTGTTTACTACAATTTTCCCATCTCTCATGTGTATAATATACTTATTTGTCTTTTTTAAATTAGCCTGATCCAGTGGAATCTCGAGCACATGGTTTTGCTTTAATCAGTGCGGCTGCATCAGCGGGAGATCGTATGGCTATGCTTTATTTAGCTGAAGCTTATTATCATGGCGATTACTATTCTCCAGATACTAGTAATCATATCAATAATAATAATAATGGGCGGAAACAAGAACCTGACTGGTTAGCAGCTGCACATTGGTATGAAATGGCGGCTAAAGTTGTTACTTATGATGATGATGCTACAGAAGATGATGAAACAAATCAACGCAATCCATCGTTTGTGAAAAGGAGTCGTTCTGGTTTTCATTCATTATCTGAATGGCCAATTTATCGTTTACAAGGTCGATTGGGAGAAATGTATGCTAAAGGTGGTCATGGTTTAGTTAGAGATAGAATAAAAGCTTGTAAGTCATTATTTTAGATTAAATCTGGACTATACCGACGGCTTTAAGCGGATTTGAAAGTAATCTCGGGATTGATCAATCAGAAAATAGCTAATCAGCATTCAGCTTTTGTAAAAGAGTCCTAACACATAACGATGATGATATTACAGACAATTATAATCTTTAGCACGATTAAGAAATGTTAGGGCTAACTATCGATAACTTACGCTTGATATCATAATGCCAAATTTACCCTAATATAATAGACTTTCGGTGTTATTTCAGAATTGACCACACATTTTTTAGTACACATGCATCAATTCATCATTTTCATCAACTTTTAAGTCGTCAGTATTTAGTTAACCGTTATTTATCTTTTATTTTTAACCTAATGATCTTGTTTTGTTAGTTCTTTATTCCGATACTATTTCCAAGCATAATTGTTTGAATCTGCCCACTGTATAGTGTAAATTTTCACGTTAATAAGTTTTTCTATTTGGTTTTTTGAATCAGAAGAGTCCAATCAATTTTTTAAATATTATTATTAGAGTCATAAATTGATCCAAGTTATACAGCTATTGAAAACCTGATGGCTTTAGAAACTTCTCAACCATGCGCATTCACAACCGTGCTACCGGAGATCGAACCCTGGATCTTCGAACGAAACAACTGTCTAGTACTCCAGGTTTTCAATTGTTACCTAACTTGGATCGGTTAGCGATCTTAATAAAAACCAATAATTTCCACAATCCCTATACTGATAAGCTTGGTTTATTGTCTTAACAATCAGAATATGTAACTAGTTAGTTTCATACAATTAGTTCCATCTATGAATTTGAATAAAGCCAGAACAACAGTTGACACAAAATTCAATTTAATTTTCTATTTAATAAATTATGTACATGCCTCTCAAGATTTTCAAGTAGGATGTCATATTCATGTTCTTTTGAAAGTGTTAATGTTGGTGTTTTCGTAAATCTCAAGGTTTTCAACTGAACATTGTAAATACTTGATTCGGCTTACAATATTTGAATGCGTAACAATTTTATCGAAGCTATGAGCTACAAGTAAAGTTGAATAAGACCTACCAGGGGGATCCTATTTAGGACTCTTCAGTTGGATGTGCCTACATCTGTGTTGCTGTTCACGCCAGGATTCGGACCCACTACATTTCTTTTCAAACCCCCAAAGTAATATCCACTGAACTGGAAAATAAATAAATAATGCCATGAGTTTACTTTAAGTTTAGAGCTAATTTCCTTGGTTCACTCGGTTTAGGAGTTTACGTAAATTATTATTCTTGCTTTATTCTAACTAGCTCATTGTTCACAAGTTTGTCTTTATTTTCATAGCGAAAGAATAAACTAGTAAGATTTACAGAATGCTGTCACTTCGATTTAGCGTATTAGTATTTTTTTTCCAGTGAGTCAGTGATTAAAGTGAGGCTTTGGACCTAGATTTTATTCTGGTTATGTAATACTTATCAACAAGACAAGAAATATTCTGCTTAATTAAGAATGCACCAAAACAATGACAAATAGTTTAATACATAGAAGTAGCTATCACAGGAGAATTAAAAATGAATTAAAAGGTCAATTTAAGCATCTCGTTTTAACATATATAACATAAAAAGGGTTAAATAGAAGCCATCAAGGTAATTAAAAGGTCATTCGACAATAAATGACTGAGGAAAAAGAAAGTTTGTGAAATTGTCGGGTTCTTTTTCACAAAATATTGCTGCAATATCACTTGAGATACATTCACAAAAGTCATCATGTAGGTGTGTAAGAGCTTGGTATTGTTAATAATCAAGTTATTCAGCTAGTCAAAATCACGTTATATTTATCTTTGTCTAGATCAGTTCAGTAATTTATATGTACTATACTGGTTCAATTTAGGGTTGAAGCTTAATATGGGTTCTTAGTCTTGTTACTCCTGTATAGATGAGTGTGTTAAACCTTAAGAAACGAGGAATTCTGACTGAATCAGATTGACTGACCATAAGGGAGTATCAAAACTGGTAAGTGGATTCCGTTTGACGAGTACTAAATAGGACGAAAATAGCGGGCTAGATTCCAACCCTAATCATAATAGTTCTATTTAAAAAAAGCTTATTGCTTATTATCTTTCATGCACTACGTGTTGTTTTAATCTGTATGTATATGTGTCACATGTATGATCACAAATATGGTGTATATAATAACAGTACAACTAAATATCAATACTAAGTCAGTCAGTCGCCTGGTACGTATGTACCTCGGTTCAAGTTCCCATACCTCATTAGAACAGAGAGTTTTATAAATAGTAATGGAAAAGATTAAGGATCAAAGATACAATTCAGGAAAATATAAATACGTGAAATGAAAGATGTTATGAGGAATTCGGAAGCTTATAATTTGTATGAAGACAAAGAATGGATGCATCTGCGCCATCGCAAGTTATTTTGAACCATGGTATTCAAAGTCTCGAACCATTGATTACGATAATCATGCGGACCCCAGTCAGGTAGTATATACTTGTTAGAATGATTTGGTCCAATTGTCAATGTCTTCTTCGGTCTGACCTCTATCTTCCAGTTTATTTTTACACTAGACAACGTCACCAAATACTGAGTAGTTCAGAGTTTCCGAAGAGCTTTGATTTACTAGGCCTAACATGTTATTTTACTGTTTAGAGATGATAAAAAACATTAATAGTTTAAGGTGAGTATGTTGGATGTGTTGTGGTCTCTAAGCTGATCACAACACTTTCAATATTTTACTGCCTTCTATTTTTTCCCAATAACCAATCATTAACCTTTTTTGTGTTACATTTGAGATTTACCAGTCATAAGATAATAAAATACGTTGGATGAACTCGGTGCTAATGCTACTTGTAAACAGCCAACTATCATTTTACGTTTAATTCATGAATTCAAACCAATATTCATATGTATCCATCTTATAAGATAATACAGAATATTTGTAGCTCAATATGAAGATTTAGGTAGATATTATACTCTGACTGGAATGATTAAATTATATTGGCTTATTTTCTCTTTTCTTTGTGTCCTATTTGTGTGCATAATATTGATTGGGTGGGTGTTGTGGGCTGCACTTATTGCTAGTGACCTAGATAATCTTTTTTTAGTCTTGATATTCTTTATGTAATTAATAATAATAATAATAATAATAATAATAATAATAATAATAATAGGATGGAATCATCCGTTTCCTGATTTTTACTGTCTAGATTATACATGCATTGCATAAGCTAATTATTGATGAAGATACGATTCAATTAACTATTTTCCTTACTCGTAAAGCATAACACCTTCAACATTCACTTGATAATAAACTATATGTGATTATTGTTAGCATCTTTTCATTTTTGTACAAATTTTTCACAAATTGTATTAATTTAAATCTTTCAGCGCCCCTTGACATACCTTCATTTATTTATATTGTATACTGATAATTTTCTCTATGAAAAAATAAACAAAATTTTAGACGAACTCTTCGAATCAGCCGCTGAAGGTGCCAGTGAAGCTCATGACGGACGTATAGCAATGAAGTATTATGAACAAGCAAGTCTTTTAGAAGAATATACTACTGTTGAATTTGATGAAGAAATAGAAGAAAAGACAGAAGAAGACAAATAGATAACAATAATAATACAAGTTTGTTTCTTTCAAATTTATGTAATACATAGATTTTCTCCGGTTATGGTTTAATGTGTATAATTGTTTTCATAATACTTTTTATATGGAAAATTTTCTCTTTTTTTTTATTTCCTCATTGATAACCAATTGTATTGATCATGTATAATCCCTAGTTTTCTCACATAACATTTTGACTTGTTTATATTCTACTCATTTTAATGATTAGCAAACAGGACCGTTTTTTATGACTAAGCTTTTATTCATCTATTTTTCCCCCGCTGAATTATTATATTTTGTCTTGAATTATACTATAATTGTTTTCATGGTTCATTGGATACACACTTTGTAATTCCATGTATTATTATTATTATTATTACTATTATTGATTTATTTATTGTGCACTATCATTTCACTCATTGTATTTTCAGTGAATTGTTTTTTTATCCGTTCATTTTGAATTAAATGTTTAACGCGCCTCTCTCATTTTCGTCAATTTCTTCTTTCTATATCACATTGTTTTATTTTTTTGTACGGATTAGAGATGTGACAATTTGAACAGATATAGATGTATGTATACATAACCAGATCTTATGTTGTCTATATCTGACTAACTGATTTCATTTTCCTTCTAGTTTCTTCATATCCTCTTTTGGATTTTCCTGTTACTTTGTAGAAATTATCCTTTTTTTATATAAAAAAACTGAACATATAAAAAGAAAATAATGTCAGTAACAACAGTCAATAAAACCATGATTTCTTTCGTTGTTGTTGTTTTTTGGTGACAATTCTCTTGGTTCAGTAAATAAGCGGTATAACACATGTGTGTGAGTATGTTAGTAAAAATATGTCATTTTCGTCTGTTACTTAGGTACACTAAACATACTAGTTATTTGGTTCTACCTTGGGGGATCTGCTACATCTTAATTCGAAGGTAAACAAAAGAGACTAAATCTAAGTTTCATGCTATTTGGTTTTCGTTAATAAAAAGGTATTGACAATTATGAAAGAGTTGATGCCCTCTCATCGAGTTATGCAGTATATTTAGTTGACTGTATATTATCAGAAATTCACTTTTTATTATCATCATATGATATGTGATATTGTAGGGTTAATTAGTTGAACTATATTTGACTGAAGTCAAAATATTTCAGATTTTAAAATAGCAGTGGTTTCAGACTTTTAAAATCTTGAAATTGATTTAATTCAAAGATATAAACATCTACTTATTATTAGTTTTCGAATGTAGAAGTAAACTAAACTGACGAATAATGTTGAATAACTTTTCACTTACTTACTCCTCGTGAAGGAGCATAGGCCACTCATCAGCATTCTCCATCCAACCCTGTCCTAGGCAATCCCTTCCAGCTCCTTCCAGTTGTTATTCATCTTTTTCATATCGGATTATATTTCCCGACGTAATGTGTTCTTTGGCCTTCCCCTTCTCTCCTTCCCTTCATGATTCCAAGTTAGGGCTTGCCTCGTGATGTAGTTTGATGTTTTGAATAACTTTTCAACTAATCAGTAGTGTTTTAGTTATGATACAAATAAGAAAGCAAAAACGAATTATAAAATGAGAATAGATAAATAGTATTGGCATGATTGATTAACTCTTTTATACTTAATTATTTATTGCAGTAAAAAAAATGTGTTAGGATTAGAGTACAAGTAAATGTTATATAACCATATATAATCATAAACACTAAGGTAGATAACTTTTTAAATTCAAATCTCAAAATCTTTTAGAATATCAATGGTTCAGATCATGAGTCAATTGAAGCTAGACCACCATTGAAAACCTGGAAGCAATGGACAACCGTTTCGTCTTATTGTAAGACTCCTCAGCAATGAGCATCCACGATCCCACCTCACGAGATTCCAGCACAGGACCTATCAGTCTCGCGCACGAACGCTTAACCTCTAGACCAATGAACCGGCCGGTATCCAATGGTATTAATGTCTAACTTCCACTAATCCACGAAATTGAGCAACACATCCACCATTTTCTTCAGTGAGTTACTATCTCACAACAGACCTTGTTGAACTGCACTGGTCACTACTTCTCAATAGAACTCCAGAAAATACCTCTTGAAGCCAGTCACTAATGAGCATATGTTGATTAATATCTCCACAAAACCCATCTTTTAGAATACTTTAGAAAATTTATCAATCATATCAAATGCTATGTACATTTTCGTCTTCTTTTCTTTTCCATGAAAAGTTAATTACTTATCGTTATTTTTAGAATCTCTAGTTTATACACCTATCCTTTAATCTCAAGTACAAGTTATTCGTCACTAGATTTTCAATTTCGCGCAGAAATCTGAGATTTACTACCTTAAACCTGATCGATTCAGCAGTATATGTTTGCTTTCATCATATTTATGTAAATTAAATGTTTATTATTTTTTGTTTAAAGAAATGTTCATGAATATTTGTTTAGTGCATTACGCCTAACTAGTTCGTGTACATTTGTATCTTTTTTCTTCACGCATGTACTAGTTATTTGGTTTTCCTTAAATGATGATTAGAATAAAGGGATGTTTATTGTCAGTATTTCATTTAGATTTAAAGATGTCATTTCTTTTCTATCTAAATGTCATATATGTTAGTGTGTAATCGAAAGTAGGATGTGTTGTAGATGATTTTTTTATTTCTTTATAGTCCAGTTAGTGAATCTAACAGATCAGTATTAGTTTTATTCTAACTGATATTCATCAAAATTCATTCTGGCTGTATCAAGATACCAGGATCTCAAAGGTGTCCTGTTTAAGTCAGTATTGTGTAGTTGTTTAAATTCCTATATTTCACATAATCGTAAAGACTGACAATTAACTACAAGGAAAAAGCAGTAAGAAGTTAGAGAAAAAAAGAATAGTTGGAGATACTGAGCAAAGCATGCAGAACAAGCATAAATCTTGTGGAGCACGGGATTACTGATTTCAAAAAGTGGGATTTTGAGATTCTGCTGAATAAACCCGATGTATTCTAGTGTTCAATATTTAGTCCGTTTCTACATTTAGTTTACTGTATTCCATTGCGAGTACAGATGTATTATTCACAAGATTGCAGAACTTGACCAACTGACACTAGCCTAATGTCAATTCTTGAGGAGTCATATAAATGTAGTCGTCATAAAGGTAACAAAATGACGGGTTTTATTTATGGTTAAAGATGTCATTATGTTGTACAGTATATCTAGTAATCTTGTAAACTACTGCATCAATTTAGTTGCATATCCATAAGTTCGTTTCATTGAGCAAGTAATTCCGTCGTTGTGATGCATATTTCAACAAATGACAGTCTAATGTCCATCAGTTATCTTGATAGATATCAACGTTTAGCTCATTTTCACTGGCGGTGAATTTTTTTACTATTGTTTTTATTCCTGTGAAAATTGGAATCACAAGTCGTGGAGTGAGTAAATGTTGTTATTTGGAATTCCCTGGAATGTGTTCTTTAGCTCCTCCAGCGACTGAAGTGCCACTCAAAATAGTATACTCAGGAATGAATTCCCGCTTTTCGTTGCAACATTAGACGGTGAATATAAGCTCGTGCAATTATGATTATAATAGCTAATTGTAAGAAAGATAGCAATCACTCCACAAATAGTTGACTTTTTACATGTAACTTATAGCAATAGCAATTAATAATATCAATTTTCAAATTCTTTTACTATAGATGTAATTGGTTGCATAAAGTGAAATGTGTAATTACTAACATTCAGCAATAACTGCAAAACTAAAATAACCCGTGCAGTTCAACCACGTCGAGTGAGATGGTCATCCACCCCAGACAATAGATGATAGTCGTGCAATATCGTGAATCGATTAATGCTAAAGACGTACATTATTCATTAGATAGGGGCTCAGTTATTTAAAAGTTAATTATTTCCACTGAAGACTAAAGATGCTAGAATCCTTTCATTGTGCTAGTGTGGTGGATACTCAGTGCTGAGAAATCTCATACTAGGGCGCAGTAACTGTCCAGTGCTTCTTGATTCCCAATGGTTCCTTAACTAAGATCATTTCGTGATTTAAACTATGTAAATTATATAATCTTCACGAAACCCTATACTGATACTTGTTGATATGTCAATAAATCATCTCGAAATCTAACTCATGAATCACACGCACCTTTACTGAATAGGAATTCATCTGTAAATTGAAATTTACTCATCAAAGACTACCAGTATCTACGTTTAAGTTCCAGTTTAAAAAATCATCATAAATCTCAAACTACTCGTCAAGTAGTATAAAACTGATTTATTAAAATGTTATGTGAGTCATAGAAAATGGTAATTAAGCAACAACACCTTGAAAAACAGGAAATGAGAAAGAAAACTACTTGACCCATATTTCTGATTTCACATAAATCAACTTTAAGTTTTAAAATGTTCTAAAACGTTGAGATATAGTTCAAAAGTAAACGAATATTGATTACATGGAGTTTGGGAATAAATGAATGTGGTTAAGTTGAAAGAGCTTTTGTAGAAATTGCTTTAATTTGTAGATTGTACTCATTATAGATTAGGTATTAGTTAATATGACATTGTGTTATAACTAATGGGGTTTCTATGTAACGGAATAAATTGGATTCAAGCAATAAATTATGCATTATAAGTATATTTTTCTTAAAATCAGTGGGCAATAAGCAAGTTAAAACAAACTGGAGGTAAAAATGATAAAAAGGTCAAGTGAGAAAACAGAAGACTAGGAATATTCGTCTGAATGTTAAAAGCCGGATTTTCAATGGTAATTTATCATTTCAGTTTGAATCATCGACTGAAATTTGTTCAGAAATTCTTTAAAAACAGACAGGATTAGATAGCTGTTTTCTCTCAGTATGGGACTCTTGAAGAGTGTTAATCCAAAACCCTACTAGGGATCGGATTCAGGACTTCAACACCCCGTGACAAGCGTTTGGCATTTAGACATCTGAGTCTGCATCCGGCAGTTTACATTCTAACTAGTTTGTGATATTGCTCGACCATCTGCTGATGAGACACCCAGTATAGGGGGTGGTCAATAAATGGACCCACCAATTATAAGATCAACCGTCCACTGCCACCTTGACTCTGCTTGACAGGGTTTGGTTCTGCCTTGTTTTTTCACCATCCGCAATCTTTCATGTTTGCTGTAAATGATATTAAATTCTGTTGATTCATTTTTTCTGTCCTATGGTTACTGTTCAATATGATATTTATATCGCTCTTTTTTCCTATTTAATATGCTATTAATTTCTGCTTTTTGTATACTAAAGGTGTTAATTTATATTTTAGAAACAGATAAGGTTTATCAAACTAAATATCTTATTTGTTTTAACTTTGACCAAACTAAGACTGTGTTCGACAGCTTAGGGATTAGCATAGAGTTGCATCTGTAGTTAATTACTTCTTGCATCCAACATGGTTGATGTCTACTGGTTGGAGCTTCACACTAGTACTCTGGAACTTACCTCCATTTAGTTACTAGTGAACACGTGATTAATATCATTTTCACAACCTCGTATACTAATACTGTTGTTGTGGCAAGCGATCTTTAGATCCATAAAGAGGTTGAGTAGAATTGTAAAGATTAGTTTAATGTGCAGACGGCCTTCATCATTGACCAAGGTTAGATACAGAGTTACTGGAGATAAGTGTCCACTAAACGGTCCCAAAATATGGTGTTTACAAAAACAGTTTGAAAATTATTAACTACTTGAAATACCGGCAAATTGTCATGTTTGTGTCGATTCTGTTGTGGTCGTGATCTTACAGCTTA